TCATGGAAAACAATTATCATGTCTATCGGAGAGACGATTATAAGAAAGAAATAAATGATTTTGACATTCAAATAATTCTTTTTGTTGAGAGAATAAATTAATAGAATGAGAGAACATATCTATGAATAGATACAACAAAATTTGTCATCCAATGTATATCGATTTTAATTGAACTATATTTATATATGTGGGAAGATTTCAATAATTTGACTTCCAAACAAATGTAATCATTGAAAACAAATGATTCATTATCATATATATCATTAAATGAATGTTTATCACAAAAATGATTTGTTATAACAAACAGCAAAAGGTCCTGGAAATTGATCGATGTCGTCAATCTGACGTTTGTACATTATTTATACGAAAGGTAATAGAAAATATGATGGAGGAAAGAAAAATCCTTCTAGACAAGATAATTCAATATTCTCATACGTTTGACACCATGTTAAAGTTTCGTTGATTTCTTCATCATAGTCAGGAAAAATATCATTATTTCAAATAGATCAAATATACCAAGTAAACACCACATTTGTCGCCAACAATCATCATTCAAATCACTTTTATTTTCATCTTATAAATATTTTTAAGATAAAGTAAATTTCTCTGATTATTACATATTTGATTTTGATTGTTTTCAATAAGTGTATAATCCTTAAAACAAGAATCATTACCACAACTAAAATCATAATAATAAACTTTCGATAAGATTTATTTCTTCAGCATTTGTGCTGGTGGTACTTTTCCATTGCAGTTTTCAAACCATTAACACATTTGTATTAACAACCGAAATATACTATTAGATGCAGCATGAAAAGCTCTATAATTTCCATAGAACCACCTACTTTATCGTTGCATCTCTTATCTATAAATGGATCAAAGTTTGGAGAAATTGAACTGCTACAGTGAAGAAAACTAATTTTTGATCAACGTAAACTCTTTTTTTTTGTTATTGCATTATTTCCTCACCTGATATACTTCACAAAAGTAAAACAAAATACACTAGAAGATGCACCGTGAAAAGCTCTACAATCTGTGCAACAAAACTCGTTGTAATTGTTTTCGAAAGAACGCAAAATTCTGCGCAATCAATTTTCGAAACATAAAAAATTGTTCGTTCAAAACTTTATTCATTTTAAAAATAAAAAGTACAAAGATAAAATAGGTGTTCCTACCTAAATCGTAGAGCTTTTTGTGCTGCATCTAACGACCGATTTTAATTTCGAATACTGTGTATTCGTGATTTGAAAATTGTAACGGACAACCTGTTCATTCAACCTCTGTAACCAGAGTACGTGCTAAGAAAATAAATCTTATCGAAAGTTTTTTATCATGATATTAGTTGGGGTATGATCAAATAGCATGAAAAGATAGAGTGAAAAGTCCTCTATCTATTGGTAAAAAAAAGACATTTTTTCTTAACTTACTATAAGGAAATAAGGTCTTGACGACACTACTTTTGGATTGTCCTAAATATATTGACAACGAGTACCAAATACATGATTATCAATTGCAGAACAATTGCAAAATATTTGTTCAGCTCCAATTTCTGTCTCTAAATAATATCCATAGTCTGATATTATATCAACAGGTGCATGCCAATCGAATAAATCTCTATAGTTACATTGATATGATGAAGAATGAAAAACGTATAATTCATTCCATGACATTTCACATCATTCAGTTTTATCTGATCGATCGATCGAATGCAATATGGGATGAGATGTTCACTTAAATTGTATTTTGTATGTGCATTATTATATAAACAATCATGATCACCATTATTGAAGATATATTTTCTATGATACAAATGAATAGAATTTACTAATTTACAACTAATCATGTAAAAATATATTAGACATACGGGAAAATTCTTGTTTAACATATTTTCGTAATAATATATTTTGCAGTTACCCATATATTTACTGAAATATTAATAACAATCTATGAGTTTATTATAAATAGGAGAAAAAAAAAATTTCTATGATGATTTGTTGTTTTATTTATCGACCAGGTTTCAACATGACATTGAACATGTTTGTCATTTCCATTGACATATGAGAAAAAGAATCTAGCATTCAATTATCAATATATATTAGAAAAATAATCATCATTTCGCAAGTCAGAGAATCTGTTTATAAGATCTTATATGAATTTCATATGTCAATCTTAAAATCAATTCCAATTAGATTAGATAAAAATCATAGAAAAACAAAAACTCGTATTCTCAGAAATCTTATTGTTTAATTTGTTCATCTAAGAACTTCCGAATTATGAGCGACGCAATTCTATTAGTTCATGTTTCATCCGTATATGTTATTTTTCTGTAATTTTTCCTCTATTTTTTTTATTCCATTCTTCCCGAAATAAAATAACAACCATTTTACTTATATTTCAATTAATATTTATCTTTTTTATCAATGTTGTTCAGCTTTATATTAAAAAAATATTATTATGTATTTCATAAATTGAATATTTGCCTCCTCATAGCGATGTCGTTTTAGACTTATCTACAAAATATTACTATTTATCTCTTGACAATGTTGTTCATAGATTAGTTTGTAAGGTTTCAATCATTGATTATTCTATTATACTTTTAATATAATGATAAAAATTGGTGCCTTGAAATTTCTTTTGTAAATGACAAAAGAATTGAATTATGGAATTAGTTTCAGTTATCAACAAGCTGATAACTCACACATATCGAAAATAAACTTTATAAAACAATATACAAATTAGATTAATTAAAATACTTGTTGATATTATTCTTTTGATAATAATTAAACATATTGATTAATATACAATCTGCTATAAGAAGGCATTATATGTGTAAATTTGAATATTTTCTCATTTGTAATAAAGAAGAAGATAATGATATCTTTATAATAAATAAAAAAATAAACATTTTATATCTCAATGATATCGTTTCTATGAACAATAAGAATTATGATAGTAGATTTAAAATGTTCGTATGTTAATTACATGATTATGCTTCGATTATAAAGACAAAATATTATTTCAAATATTTATTTAACATATTATTTATGAAATAAATGACAAATAATTCAATATTTTTATTTTTTTTAATCATTAGAAAAATGTGTTCAATAAAGCAAAACAAAAAATCTAATTGATCTGACATAAAAAGAAAATATTATTATATTAATAATAATTTGGTATAGTTTGAAGATATTCTAAAACAGAATTATAAGTTAAATGAGAACAATTTTCATTTAATTTAAGTTTTTGTCTAATTAATGTTGAACTAATATCATATGATTTATAATCGTCTTGATTATCTAATAAAATAAAAGAAATTTTCAGAGAATTTTTATCAATAAATGATTTAATACGAGATGTATTTTGTCCATAACGATAAACAACAACAACTCCACCAATATGAGATTGTCCTAAAGAATTCATTCCATGACAACGATTAAATAAATCCAAACTAGCAACATATATAACTCGAATTGCTTTTTCCATATTGAAGTTTTTATTAATAAATTCTTGCAGACTATATGTTACATTATTTAAACTAATAAAATAAGGAGTTAAATAAATAAATAATTATAAAATAAAATAGTATGACAACGTATCCATACATTCTACTTTATCAACAGCTAATCAATCTTGTTGATTTTCTTCTTGAATAGCTTTTTGACACATATTAATTCTATGATGACTAGGAATAAAATAATTTCCTAGTTTTTCTTGAACATATTCATCATGTGTTGGTGATATATAACCTGCAATAACATTATAATCATGAATATTTTCTAAATATTGTTTTGTTTTTATCATATTTGATATATGACAACGATGAATTGGATTCATTTCACCTGTTGAAATTAAAATAATATTTTCTTTATTCGATTTTAACTTATTTAAATTCGAATAAATTATTGATAAATCTGTCGTTGATTCTAAATGCATTTCTAAAAAATTTAACTATTAAATCAACAATTAAATTTCTCTTTTATATATGAAATTTTGAAATGTTTTTTTCCTATTTCTTTTTTATGTTACTGACATTAAACATTAAATCAACATTATGATGTCATTATCACAACACACCAAAAAATTTCTCAACTTTTTTTTTCTTTTAACGTCATGTAACAAACAAAATTATTTTCGTTTATTTTCTTCAAATAAAATTATTCGACATGGCTGTCCATTCAGAAAACAGTATATCAGCGAAGGTAGATGACAGTGAAAAACAAAATTGTGCTCTCTCCTTCTTCTTCACCCTCACATTCATATGCTGACTCTGTTTCGCTGATTTATATTTCACCCAAATGTTTTTCGTTAATTTTTTTCCCTGAAACGCCTTTCGCTGATTTGCAACTATTTCCTATTTACTTTTTTTTAAATAAAACACAAATGAAATCTCCACTAAGATTAGAGATTAATATGACTTTCAAAAATTAGATATATCAATTTCGAACGTAGAAAATAATATAAATCAACTTATTAGTCATTGAATCAAATAAAATATTTTTATTTCAAAAAAAAAAAATTCGATTTGTTTTAGTAAACTGATCATTTAAGTAAGAGAAGTCACACTGGAAGTTTTTCAGCCACATTATTTTTTCTTTAACTGCTTACTCTTACTTCGAATTATTTATTATCCTTTGATATAATGTAAAACAATTATATTATTAAGTATTTATTTTTAAAATGTTATCCTTCAATTAGACATTTTCAAATGACAAAATATTACAAGTTTTTCATTGAAAATTAGGTCATGTAAAATTCCACTTCATAAAACTAAAATATGTCTTCAGATAAATCATCGATAATATTATATAATATAAATAATATTCATACAAATATCGAATTAATAATGACATCAATTAGATAAATCATTTTTATATGAAAAATGTTTAGTTCTTTTTGAATTGCTTGACCATATTCATTTTTATTTAATAGGATTTTTTTAAGCAAATATAAATGTAAACCTTATACATTATACCTACAGAGTTTTCATGTAGAACTAAATGAAATGTAATTATTTTTCAAAGTATCAAAATTTAATTTTCATGATCTTTTTTTCTTCTGTAGTAGTTTGATTTGGACATCCAACAAATTCGTACTTATCATTTTATCACAGAATACATTATAATCATACGGATTAAATCTTATTGAAAATAGCGATAATAGAAATATTTTCGGTTAAAAAGAGAAAAATAAGAACATTTGAAATAAATAAAGATATTAGTATAAGTGCAAAACATGATCTTAACTTTTTTTTGACGAAAATGTATATTTAGTTTTTAATTAATATGAAATGTGTCTTTTCACTTTGTTAAAAAAAACAAACATCTATTAGAAAATTGTTATTTTATTTTTATATTTAAATATATATTCATTTAAAATGATTTTTATTTTCTTGATGCTATTTATTGAAATAATCAATTATATACGATATATCTATCATGTAATTACAGTTAAACTATTCATTTTTTTTACACTTTAGGAAAAATAAAATCATTCGAAATCATTTTATAGGAAAAAAATGAAACAACGGAGGGCTTTTTGTTCTTTGGTGGAAAATAAAATAAAAAAAACGCAAAATTAGATGAATAAATTTCCGATTATTTAATTTTGATTCTTGTTCATATAAAACAAATTTTATATAAATATTGGTTAATACATTCGCACTGTCTTAGAATGATGAAATATCGAAAGTCTCTGATCATAGTTATTATATAAATATTTTCAATAAAATAAAATATTTAAAACAAATGAATTTATCATTTAAAAATTCTGTTTTAAGATTTTGAATAAAAACTCAATTATTGAATTATATTGAAACAAAAAAAAATAAATTTATCATTTCAATTAAAATAATTCAATTAAATAAAAACTAAATTTTTTATTTTAAATATTAAAATAAGAATTTATTTTTCATTAAATAGAAATTAAAAAAGAAAAAGCTTGAAAACGTTAAATATAAAAAATGTTTATTTAAAAAAAAAACGAAATAATCCTAATGTTTTTTATGATGTTGTCCATGGTCTTGTCCATGACCTTTTCCACGATCACTATCACCACTTCCACGTCTTCCATCATCATGAGAAATTTTTTTTTGTTGACCAGGTGGACCACCATGTAATAGGACATTAGAACCCAAAAGTATCACCATATAATAGGAGATGAGGACCTAAGGATACCTTCAAATAATAGGACATGAGAACGCAAAGGTATTTTCGCTCATGCTCATGAGCGCTCATTTGAGCGTGAGCGGTACATCTCTAGACAAAAATATTCTTCTTCATGTTCGAAATTACCAAATGACTACCTTGAATTGCTCATCTCAAATGAGGACAAAAAAGGATAGATGCGCAATCATAATGTAAGTTGGTGCTATCTATCGATGCGTTGTTGTGACTTGTTGAAAAAAAAGGAACTATCAGTAGCATTGATACCGTTGTTATTTGTTTTTAGTAAGTGTTCGAGCAAATATTGGTAAAGATGCTCGTCGAAATCCAGTTCGAGATAAACAGTCTAATATGAATATTCGTGAGAGAAGAAGATAAACTTGAAGACACAACAATTGAGAAAGAATATCTTGGACGCGTTTCTATCTGAATCTTTGACAATTTCTGTTAGATTGATAATACTTTTATCAAGATTTTCATCTGATTTATTCGTTATTTCGTAATCAAAGAGAAGATCATCGCATATTCTCCAAGCTCTTATTGAAGAAAATCAACTTCAGTCGACCATATTTCGTTTTGCTTCCATTTAACATCAATATTCTTTCATTTTATTCAATAGAAAAAAAAAATTAGTAAGAAAATCTTTTTTCTCCTTCATTTCTATTTAAATAAACAATTTCATCAATTAATGAATTTCAGTTCGAATTTTTCTTCATTCAACACAAGCAGATCAAATATCCAAATAATAACCTAGAATTTGTTGAATTTCCAGTTTCTGGTAGGATCAGATTAATCTTTTTTTCTCTTCTGATTCTTATATTTTCTGCAACTAGATATCGATTTGAACATTATTCTGTCTTTTTGGTGATATTAATAAATGGCATTCTTTGAAGGAATTGAATATTTTGATATTGTAATTAATAAATGAACATTTTTGACTTATCCTTGCAATCTAAACAAATTAATGGAAGTTATGAATGTTTTCAAGTCGAATACAGTTCAACTCAATGCTTATGATGATCGTTATCTCTTCTATGATCCTGCTGGTGAACGTTATGGGGTTTGTGATCTTCGTACTTTATCCTCAAGCAGAAGCTTTACATTCAAAAATGTTCGATTGCACCATTTCGACCAGAATATTATTGATGATAAAGTCAATCAGTTCGAGAAGAATAATGCAGATTTTGACATAGAAATCTCGAAGAAGATGAAACGAAATTGAAGAAGAAAAATCATCGAATATCGAATAAGAAAAAAACTTCCTTAAAAAATTCATCGATTTTACAAACCATTAATGATAATGATGAAGAAAAAGGATTGAACAGTTCAATCACCACTGGTAAGTTCTTTTCTCATTATCGATAAACTCGAAAAAAAATCTCCTCTCAATTTTGACTCTATTTGTTCGAAATAGATCTATTTCTTTTAGGATCTCCAACAGTAACCAGCAAGATCATCGAAGAAAATCAATCAATGCCAGAGATGATTCCAGTTATTCTTGAAACTGATCGTTCTTATATTAGAAACGACGAGAATAGTAAAGAAGAAGATGATGAGAACAAAAACAGTGAACAAGAAGAACTGGTTAAACCATCCATAATTTCCATTCCATTGATTTATACTAAACAAACAAATCCCACAACAACAACAACAACAACAACATCATTTGAACAAGTTGTTATTGATGAACTTCGATCCATCAACACAACGTTAAATTCAATGAAGAAAAGACTTGATAATATTGAAAATAAAGCTGATATTGTTTATGAAATGGCGTCGGAGCGAAGAGTTATGCATGCTCTTCATTCTCTAGGCATGACCGGTATTGAAGGATTATCTTGTGAATATTACCATTATCATGACTATGACTACCATTAAACTCTCTTGCTAATCAATTACAGCAACATTATCATAATCGATGGAAATATTATGATCGATATGTCGACATTTCTTTATGTCCATAAACTATCGAGATTAATCTAATGGGTTAGTTTGAACATTTGATTATCTTCATCTGTTGATATCTAGTTGAAATCTTTCCATTTTAGGATTTGGTAGTTTTCCAGGAATGCCTGTCAATCTGACCTCTCCACCTCGTTTTAATACGTTGGTCTTACCTCATCCTTCATCATCAAACTTCGATCCGTCTTAGAAGAAGATAAAAGAAAAACGAACTTATTCTCATGTTGCTGTTATGGAAGCTACAACATCTGGTATAAGCTTCGATGCTCGATATTTGCCAATTATTGAACAAGTTGGTGAAGGATCAGCAGAATTTCTTAAGTAGGTTTTATTAAATAAAATCTTTTAATTATCTATTAGTCGAATATTAAGATGGTTATGATCAAATTGATTCAAATCGAATTCGGATTAATGAAATTCTTTTTATATTTTAAGGATGTCTCTTTCAATGAAAACATTAATTCGGAAGCTGTTACAGTTAGAACGGCAGCTGGTATTTATTAAATTGTTATACAAAACGAACAATGATCACTTGGTAGCGGGTTTGGTATTATATGCAATGAGAAATAAGAAAAAGAATTTTTCAAAATTATTTGATTGTTTATTTTCATCCTCATTCGTACAAGCCATTCCAATTATTGATGATTTAAAAGCAAATGATCGTTTCTTCATAACTTGGTAATTAATGTTAAACTTTTTAACAAATCTTCATTCATTTATCGTTGTTCTATGTTTTATTGTCATTTTAGGTAATGAACTGTTCGTTTCTGATTCAACTGGAATTGCATCGTGGTCAAGGGGGAAACGGCGGATTGCGTATTTTCGGGATTTTCAGGATTTTTTCCGTATTTTTAGGATTTCTTTCGTATTTTTAGGATTTTGCGGATTGCCAGAAGATTTCCAGAAGATTTTAGGATTTTCGTGGGATTTCTGGATTTTCACGAGATTTCATGGATTTTTACGGGATTGCATGGATTTTTACAGGATTTTCAGGATTTTTGTCGTACTTCAGAGGTTTTGCACAGAATCTTATAATGAGAGACAATAGGTTGAGTCATAGCAAAAAATAAATCTGTCATCGTCAGTTACCTAGACACGTCACTTGTTATGATTGTTATCACACCAACTGGGACTTCAGAGGACATTAGTTTATCGTATTTTATAGGAAAAAACAGCAAAGAAAAACAACAAAAATCAGAAAAAATGAAAAAGAAAGAACAAAAACTATCTACCTACAAAGGGGAAAAAGCGGATTATTTTGGATTGGAATCCCGAGAAAATTCAAAAAAATCCCAAGAAATCTCAAGAAATCCCAAAAAACCCGAAAATCCAAAATCGAAAGTAGTTTTCAGCAATATTTTTCGATCATATTCTCAAGTGTTTCGAACATAAATAGGCAGTTTTAAGTCCTCGATGGCTATCCTATGAGAGTACCCGTAAGTCCTTAACTGCTGTTCTATGGGGGTACTCATAGGTCCTCAAGGGCTATCCTATAGGAGTATCCATAATTCTTCAAGGGCTATCCTATGAGGGTACCCAGAGGTCCTCATAGCCTGTCCTATAGGGTACTCACAAGTCTTCAAGGGCTATACTATGGGAGCCACCATAAGTTCTCATGGCCTATTCTATGGCGGTACCCATAGATCCGCAACGGCTGCCTTACAATGGCGCTTATAAGTGTGCGAGAGCCCCAGTTCAGTTTGCCGTGGTGGAGATGATCAGCCAGCTCTCGTTCACATGAGATGCTACTCTCTAGCACCTCTTCGATTGAGCTCTCGGAAGCCGTGGAGCTGAAGGTGTCATGAACCAAACGTTGAACCGATCTTTGATAAAAGAGTAACTCAAAATTGACCCAAACTTGTGAAACGCAATCTCGTCGACGTAATACTAATTGTGAAAAAAACTACTCCTTTAGGTGACTCAATGATGCTGAGCTAAGAAGAACAGTCCACTTTTACTTCTTTAAGGAAAAATCAGGTACACGATTCTTACATTACCCTTACACCAGTCCCGTACCACATTCAACTTCAGCTACTAGATGACGTACGAGTAGCATCCTTATTATTGTCTGCCAAGTCCTGTGATTAAAAACCCTTGAAAACCTGTGACGACTAACGCTAGATATCTCCTGAACAGTCAGCAGTACCCGGCACTCTTCCATGGGATAACCTTTGAAGAGTAACCAGAACTACTGCAAACCAGTCCTTGAAAAGTTAACGATACCAAACCTCGATAGCCGTTGGGAGCTTATGGGTGCTGCTCATGGAAATCGCTTGAAGATTTATGGGTAGCTCCACAGGAAAGCACTCGAGGACCTATGAGTACCTTCATAGGACAGGCGATGATGACTTATGATAACTGCATAGAATAGGCCATAAGCACTTATGGATATTCCATAAGATAAGCCATGAGAACTTATGGGTACCCATACAATAGAGTATGAGGACCTATAGGTGTCCCGTTGGATAGGGCAAGAGGACTTATGGGCACCCCCATAGGACAGCGCTTGAGGACTTATGGGTACCCATAAGATAGTCCATGAGGAACTATGAGTGACCCATAGGATAGGGCATGAGGAACTATGAGTACCCCATAGAATAGCCCTAAAAAGTAGCACACTTTGAACGTTTTGCGACACCTTTTTACATGCACTTTGACGAGGTGCCTAGTCAAAATCCTTGAAGAATGCCACTGTGGTGAATGAGAGACGACAACCAAATTATTCCAAATAATGTATCTGGTGGTTATAGAACGTTGTTTTACAATAGGAAATACGGCATTCGAATGAAAGACAAGAAAGGAGAAGTTTAAAAGTTCGAAAAGAAAATTTCAGGAATCTAAAAAAATATCCAAAAATCCCGAAGAATCCCAAAAAAATCGCGTAAAGTCAAAAACAAATCTTTTTTAGATTTTAGAATCTATAAAATCCCAAATCCGCTTTTTCCCCTTGCTCTGTTGTCTTTATACACACTGTCACAAGGCGTTCTACACTCTAGCTTTCAGAGTATCTGGTAAGATTATTATGTTTTAGACACATTTTATCTAACAAATAGCAATTTTTTAAAGTGAAATATATAAAAGCATGACTTCATCGATATCAAACAAAACAACATGTTCGTCATATGCGACTGACTTAAATAATGTATTTCATGGATTTTTATTGTATTTCAGGGATTTTTTATGGATTTTCGTATTTTAATTGTATTTCAGGGATTTTTTACGGATTTCTGGGATTTTACGGATTTTTTATGGATTTTCAAGGATTGGCAATCCCAAAAATCCGCCGTTTCCCCCTTGATCGTGGTATTGACAAAAATTTTGTTTTGTTATTTGTTTCTTTTCATATGTCATTAGGGGTGACAGTTTATCTTCGCTTTCTTTTCGACTCTTTTCGAGTTATTAGGAAGGACATATTATTATCCATTTCAAAATATAAGAGCCGTGACTATTTTTTGAATAACTTTTCAACTGTTCAAGCTATAGAGGCCGGGTTTTTGGCGTTAGAAAAAGCAGGGTAAAGAGCGTCGATCTGTATAAAATTCATTAGGTTCAAACATCTTTTGTATAGTTGTTTGCAGTCAGATATCTTGTTTGTCGTCTATTTTCATGAGTTTTCGTG